TTTATATATAGATATATGAAAACCATTTTGAAGCAGGAAGAGATATACTTAGGGGACTCTAGCTTTAAAATCAGGGATAGACTCAGCAAGTAGGGGTAAGCACATTCAATCATGTTAAACAGTTATATAGAGACAACATCATAATGAACATATTTTTAAGGTCACAGTTTACTTTCAAATCATCCACATCATTATTCAATCATCATTCATTCGTCATTCAAGTCATCATTCAAATCATCATTCAAATCACATAAGCACACTTTGGTGGCGCCACGGGACCAATCGCATGCCCCGAACATGCGGGTTAGTGCGTATAGCACTAACATGGCCCCGCAGCACCCTACCTCATACCGCAGCATGAAGGGGTTGATCGCAACCAACCGTACAGACTGCCAAAAGCTTGACGGCGGATCACATCCCTACACACCGCTGACGCGCTCAGTCGGTGGACTGTGATCCTCTTATGGGACTACGACCCTACACATCGTTGATGAGCACAGTCGGTGGATCGTAGTGAATCAAGCCCTACACACCGCTGAGGGACTCAGTCGGTGGGCGGAGATCCTCGGAGACTACGACCCTACACACCGCTGGCCCTTCACTCGGTGGATCGTAGCCAACCATAGCCCTACACACCGCCTGATCACTCATTCGGTGGGTTATGGTCTTCCTCAGGCTGGTGGCCCTACACACCGCTGGCGCGTCCAGTCGGTGGATCATCCGCACACGAGGCCCGTGGGCTGTAGCCCAAGAAGTGAATCACTGACCGCATCCAGGAAAATGAACCGCAGCTCATGTACAACGTTTGATCGCAACCAAATAGTGGATCGCAGCCCTATATAATATTTATATACCTGACTGATCGCAACTGGCCTGGTTAATAGTTGGTATGGTTCTCAACCCATCCAACTGCCCGGAGACGTATAAATAAACTTACGTGTGATCATTCACATACTAAGAGTAGTCCTAAGGGGTTCATGCATTCTTCTCCTAGGCCAATGGGTTACCGATTCACTAGCATGCAATTCCTAAGACTCCTTTATCCTACGAATGGTACCCGAAACATCAAACTAGACTCAGGCACGACAAACGGGGTCCGTTGGGATACCACGGGGAATGGGGAACATCAAACGGGGAAGCCGAGGACTCGGGGCGGGTAACGGACCAGCGGGTAGCCGGTGGGTGGGAGTCACCCGCCGGCTGCCCGCCGGTGGTGAACTTCCGGGCAGCGGGTGGCCGGCGGGCAAACGCCTGCCCGCTGCCTGGCGGTAAATCTCGGGCAGCGGGTAGGTGGCGGGTACCCCTACCCCTACCTACCCCCCACTGACTCTTTAACTCAATAAACGTCCCGGGATATTTTGTGGAACCCGAAACCATGCTTAGACACTTTTAAACGCAATTAATGACAGCACATAGACAATTAATGGATCGAAAGCAAGAATCATATTGAACACATCCTAACATGACTTCTAGACACGAACAACACCCGAACATGCCAATTCCCACCCAAATATAAATCAAGAACATCACAATACAAATTCCCAAACCAACCTAGGGCTCTAATCCCATCCAATTCATCAAAATCATATTTTATTTCTATCATCAAGAAACATCAAGATTTCATCAAGAATCATCACATAATTATCAAGAACCTCTTTTTAATATCAAGATCAACAAGATCGCACATAAAATCATCACATCAATCAACAAGATTATATCACGATTATCATAAAGGAATTCATCAAGACACAAGCATATAAAGGGAGCCAAAGAAGAAGATTATAGCAAGGAAAATAGGTTTTGTTGAGGCATGGGTTACCTCTTAGCCTTAATTAATTTCCTTGGCTATGAAGGGTCTTTCTTTAAGATTTCTTCTTTCTTGGTTTCTCCTATGGGAATTCTTGGGAATTCTTGTGTGGTGAAAGTTATTGTGGTGTGAGTTCTAGGTGCCTCCTATGTCCCTATATATATATATATATATATCTAAGAGTCCCAATTAGGGTCTAAGTGGTATGGATTAGCTAATTCTATTTCCTATAGGACTAAGGGATTGGCTTTAGGGATAAGGGCCCATGGACTATGGTGGACCCTTCCTAATTAATTAATGAAATTTAATTCTTTCTTTTGGGTAAATGTTTAAATAATTAATTGGTTTAGGGGCCGTAACATGGGGTGTTACAATATCTCGAGCAACATTATCTAGGTTAGCTCGTGTTTTCTCATCAGAGTTGAGTTGAGCCTTTGGTTTCGCTATCATGGGTTCTGCACCCTCTCCTTGTGCAGCAGCATTGGTATTCACCAGCATCACTGTGATGGGTCCTGTGCATATAACATCCCACATTTCATCATGGATCGCCGAGAGATGTGCCTGCATCCTCACTTTCCAATCATCAAATTTTGATAGATTAAAGGCAAGAGGCCTAGATCGGTTAGAATGCTCCTTTTCCATTTTCTTTTTGAAAAATTATTGCAAAGACGAAAAGATGCGGATTTTAAGATTTTATGAGAAGGGATCTACCAGGCAGTAAAGGCAAAGCTTTTACCGTTCAAGGTAACTGCTCTGATACCACTTGTTGGTCCCGGTAGGGTCGAAAGGAGAGTCTAGAGGGGGGGGGGGTGAATAGACTCAATTCGTTTGTCACATATAATAACTCCTTTCGGGGTTATTTTGCAACAGATGTGTAAATAAATTTTAAGCTTCTTTGCACTGTTTGGTCTTATGAGGAACTTTCGGTTAGGGCTAATGTAATGCGATGCACGAAAGTGAATGCCGAAATGTAAAGAGACATAGACAAGAGAGTTTTTATAGTGGTTCGACCAACTGTGCCTACTCCACTCTTCTTCCACAACTTGTGGAAGGTTTGCACTATCACTCCTAGTACAAATTACACCAAGATAGCTTCCTTTATCACTAAGCCGGACAGCTTCTTGAAGGTTTTTCAACTCCTCGAGTTTACTCCGCCTCTATCAACTTCTTCTTCAAAGTTGAGGGTTGGATTGAATGATCTTTGAGTTTCTCCAACACGTTGAAATCTTGATTGGCTGGTGGTTGGATGGATGATCAGCGTGTACAAAGATGCAAGATTTCTTCAAGGATGTTTGAATGAATTCAGATGAGTCTTCTTCAAATTTCACACTTTGAATCACTGGATTTCAAAAGCTTGAGAGAGTGAACTTATATATGTAGTTTTTGAGAGATTGAATTCAGTTGTTCTAAAAACCAGCACCTTCTAATGTGGAGAAGATGGGTATTTATAGGTGAGAGTAAATCCATCTATTGGAGGGAGATGGCATTTCAAACCTATGATCCAGTGGTCAATAACCGGAGAGCCTTGTGCATTTATTGTTTCATTAAATGCAGTTGTACTATATAGACGTTGGAGATAAGCACTTTTGCTTATTTTGTCTTCTAGCACTGAAAAGTAGTACCTTGGCATTTAATGCACCTTGAAAAATGTGCTCTCAAACCTTAGGAAAGTTTATTCCTAGGATGATCTTTAGATGAGACGTTTGACAACATTCTTCTTGAGTTGATAGAAGATAGGTTGTCTTGACTGTTATAAAGTTCTCTCAAACAGAACGCTTCTTTCGGCTTCTGCTTTCTGTATTCTAAGATTATCTCATCTTTCGTTGTCCAGTAGACGTAAGGTTGTGCTTCATCGGACTGTTCTTCTTTCGTTGTGAAAAACCTAACTAAGAATGAGCTTAACTCGGTTTCATGTGTTTGTCTAGCTTAACACGAATTACATGATGAGTTAAGGTACCTTTCGTCTAGAACGAAGGTAACAAGCCAAATAATAAAAAGTTAGGGGTCTACTTCTAAGTTACATTGGTATCATCAAAATCCTAATACATATGTTCCTAACAGAAAATAAAAGAAATAATGGGAGGAAAAGAAAACGAAGAAAGGAATGATTAAACACTACAATAGAGAGAAAGAAAAAAAGAAAACGGAGTGACGAAAGACGAGGGAAGAGCGCCGACAGGCACTAGGAGCTCAGACGTTCATGTTTGGGGAGCTCTTTTTAGGCGATTTTCTTCTTTAAATTCTTATTCTAGTCTCTATAATCTTGATTATTTTGCTGTTCATTCTCCAAATATGGTAGTTAGGGTTCTTGATTTCTAACTCTAATTGAGAACTTTATGAATTGATTTGTTAGACTTTGAATTTAATTATTTATTCGTTATAATATTTTATATTTTTATGATTTAATTTTTATTGAATAATTAATCCAAACACATACTTATTAATTATTCTTATGATTCATTGCTATATGATTTCTTGCTCGTTTGACTGATGAGATTTTATTTGAGTAGCAATTAGGTGCTTACGAACTTTCTAGGAAAATATAGATATGAATTGAATGTTTGCTCATTTTGGGAATGTTATTTGTGTTGGCTACAAATTCATAAAATTTAGTGAAATTGAACATTGAATCCTAAGCGTTTGTTATAAGGTTAGGTTGCCTACTAATTAGACTATCAATTAGGCTTAGTTGGCGGTGTTTGCTACTCTTAAGTAACTACTATGTGAGTTAGGGGTTAATGTGAGTTTGCGGTTAACTTAAACAAACTATTATGATGAATAAATATTTTTTGGTCAATGGTTATGTCAAATCAGTTAGAGTTAATACTTATTAGGGTTGGAAACTCGCATTTAAATTATTAATTTTGATAAAGTCTTCCTGCTAGTTTATTCTTGAATTCAATTTATTGACTTCTACTTTGTTCTTATTTTAATTAAAATCATTTATTTGCTTAGTGAAACTTTACCTAAGAAATAGTAGTTAACTCAAAACTCCCTGTAAGATTGCCATGTCTATATACTAGTTTAGTTTTATTATTTGGTGTTAAACAGCATGCATCACTACACAAGATATAGAATGTAGATTCTATCTAACTAAAAATTATTTATAGTAATGTTGAATTTCACACTAGGTGATACTTGCAATTTCACGAGGAGTCCAACATACCCTCCATATATATATATATATATATATATATATATATATAAAAGAGGGTAGCACTCATTTACCTAAATATGTAATCGGTAATTAGGAATAGCCATCAAATGTTCAGCACGAGTCACCACAAGACCAAATTCTTCAGTCATGTCCAACTCTTTGGATGACATACCATTTGGAAGTTTCCAATCAAAGCAGTGTACTAGTTGTGCTACCACTATTCGAACCACAGTGATTCCAAGTTGTAAACCAGGACAACTTCTTCTACCAGAGCCAAAAGGAATGAGTTCAAAATCACGCCCTTTATAATCTATATTACTCCCTTCGAACCTCTCTGGAATGAATTCCTCTGCATTTGCCCACACATTTTGGTCATGTCCAATTGCCCAAACATTTACCATGATTGTTGCTTTTCTAGGTATGTAAAAGCCATCAACCATGCAATCCTCTCTTGCCTCATGAGGAATAAGTAATGGCGCCACGGGATGAAGTCTAAGGGATTCTTTTGTGACCATTTCTAAATATTCTAGACTGTCTAAATCTGTCTCTTCCACCATCCTATTCAAACCAACCTTGTTGTCTAATTCCTCTTGAACTTTTTTCATTTTTTGTGGATGTTTCAAGAGTTCAGCCATCATCCAATCAATCACGGTTGCCGAAGTGTCTATTGATGCTCCAAGCAGATCCTGTGTATATATGAAATTTTTTACTTTTTTCATAACTATAGAAGATATTAAATTTGAAAACAATAGGTAGGATAAATGAATAAATTATTACCAATAAAGTAGTTTTGACATGTTCGCGACTGAGCTGAAATTCAGTTTCCCCTGACTTCATGATGGACAACATAATATCAACAAAATCCTTTGTTTCACTATTGCTTCCCCTCTGTTCATGGTCATCAATGATCCTCTCAAGGAACCGATCAAAGGTTTTCGCAATGGCCTTCATTTTTCTAGTGAATCCTTGAAGGTCTAACTTACCCAAATAAGGAAAATAATTCCCAAGATTTGGTTTAACTGCTAGCTGCATACCTTCTTTAATCGCGCCTTTGAAACCCCTCTCATCAATGTCCTTAATCTCATACTTCTTCCCAAACACCATCCTGCAGGTCATGTCTGCAGCTAAGTCGGAAACTTTTGCACTCAAATCAACAGCCACACCATCCAGAGCCGCTTGCTTGAGTGACTCAATAAGACAACACAATTCTTCTCTTCTCATGGCTTGAAACGAGTTGATCTTAAGATTACTAAGCAACTGCAATGTGCACAACTTGCGCATGTTGCGCCAATAAGGCCCATATTGGCTAAAGCTCAAATTCTTTTGGTCATAAGAGATGTACTTAGCTGCTTCGTTAGGCGGTCTGCTCGCGAAAACAAGATCGTGAGTCTTGAGGAAGAGCTCTGCAGCCTGAGGAGATGAAACAACGATATTGTCAACGAACCCAAATCGCAAATGCATTATCGGACCGTACTGTTTGGCTAGCTTGTTCAAATCCTGATGGGGATTTTTACCAATCAAGTGAAGATGTCCCAAAATGGGAAGCCCTCTTGGACCTGGTGCCAATTTCTTGCCATTCATCTTCTTCATAAGGCCATGAATGAGAGACAAAGCTGCAAATACAGCAAGCGTTGTCCAAACCCATGCCATGTTGTCGTTCTATGGTTTTTCTTGAATATTGGTGTCTATAGTTAGCAAGTGGCAATGAAGAGTTATATAGTCGCCTTTCAGTCTATATACTGTGTAAGTAGTTATTAATTAATTTTATAAGGCGGCAACAAGAATGTACACTAAGAAATTGACAGCCACATATGTTATTAATTAATATTGACGGAAGCAATGAGGTAGGTTCAAATATATTCTTTCTATCCATCCATAACAGGCTTAACTTGCATGGGAGATCTCTCTGCTTGTCGCTACGTGCAGGAAACGGCAATCGTAATTCTCCCATTGGTAGGATCATGTAATATTTAATTTCAAGAGGGGCAATTTCTGCATTTGCAAATGTTTTCTTTGAGTATTTCTTCTACTTTTTTTTGTTTGTTTTTTTTTTTTAATAAAAAAATCCCTAAACACATTTTTAAAATCTGTTTCTGGTTATCTGGTTGTCATATAATACTTAAAACCAATTGGTGATAACAATTTCCCACCCCAGCACTTGCCGCAACCTTTGTTCATCAAGCCCAGTTGCGCAACAGTCCTAATTCGGTCCTTAGCCTCCACGCCATTAATCCCCTCACGGGATTGGATTTGTTCATCAAGCCCAGTTGCGCAGCATGCCTAATTCGGTCCTTAGCCTCCACGCCATTAATCTCCTCACGGGATTGGACTTGGCCCGACCTACGCCCACATTCTATTTGGGACTAACCCATCCGTTTTTGCTGGAAGTCAAGCACGCTTAACCATAGAGTTTTTTGGTTCTTTGATTGCCATACCCTACTCAAAACGAATTGGTGATAAATAGGTGGACATTAATCATTTAACCATTTAATTAACCACATCTCTCCATGATAATTCACAACGTCATGTCTCGAATCGATGAGGGGTTGAACTCGCCCAACCCAACCGACACCTAACAAAATGAAAATACATTTTAGAGATCTATTAAAAAAAAATCGTTCAACTATAAGTGTAGTTCAAATTTAATTCTTCAATTATTCGCAACGTTGATTTAGTCTTTCATATATTATCCAAATGAAAATTCAAGGTAAAAAAATGAATTATTTTTTTTTTGAATACTCTATTACAATGTAGAATCTTCTCAACCGACTGAAACACAATTCAAAGAACCTGCTCATATACTTCGTCTCCACTGAGGCTTGAACTCACAACCTTCCAAATGGAAGTCTAATCCGAATACCATTAGATCAGACCACATAGTCTTGGTGATAAAAATGAGTTAATTTAATGAAAAGTTGGCAAATTTAAAGAACCCAATATAAGACAGAGTAAGGGATTTACTTTTGATTGCGTCTTCTAATTGCTAGTGAATTAGGAACGAATTCTAATTGTGCAAGGGTTTGAGGTTCTATACTTCTATGTGCTCATCAAACTGTAATTAGGCTTGTCTTGAAGAATGAATTGCAACTATTCTAGTCAAATTATGCAGAACTCTTTTCAGTAGGTGATTATTTGAGTTGAAGGTGTTTCAGTGGTGCATGTTCTCTTTGAAAATAGGAATATGAATTGAGGATTTGAATTGAGGTTATGAATGGTGCTTAAACCTAGCAAATGTTAACCAGTTTGGTTGGCGTGATCGTGCACTCTCATTCTTTAAGAGTGGTTAGAAGTTTGAACTCTTTCTTGTATGAAAAAATCAATCTGACCAATACTTTTATTCTTAATTGGGCCGATGGTCTAACCAAAAAGGAAAAATAAACTTAGCCAATGTCATTAATGATTTCAAGTTTTTCTATACTTGATCTAAATTATTTACATGGAGTTAATACCATCTGAGGTCATCCGAGTATAGTGGTTTTGCCACGTTTAGTCCTAAACTTTCAAATTGACCATCTGTGGTCCTTCGACTTTCAAATTTAACCATCCGTGATCTAAGTTAACCACCCATGGTCCTTCAAGTTTTGAAATTTAACCAGTTGTGGTCCTCTTGAAAGGACCATGGTTGGTTAAAATTTAATATTTGAAGGACCAAGTGTGGTTAACTTGGACCAGAAATGGTTAAATTTAAAAGTCGAAGGATCACAGATGGTCAATTTGAAAGTTTAGGACTAAACGTGGCAAAACCACTATACTCAGAGGACCTTAGATGGTATTATGCATTAACATATTATGTACGTACTCTACCCAATAAGTTAGCCCTAAGTACATACTATACTAACTGTAACAAATACATAATATATTAATTGAAGATACATAATAAGTTAAATTAATTACATGTACATAATCTGAAGAGGATCTACAATGCGTATGGTGGGCATTGGTTCAAGATATAGGCAAATTATACAATGGAACGTGGTCTACATTGCATTGTGAGCATTGGTCCAAAATGACACTCAAATTATGTGTTGACAATTAACATATTATGTGCATTTTTAATTAATAAATTATGTGTTTGTAAATAAATTGAAGACACATAATATGTTAACTGCAGACATATAATATGTTATATATTATAACATATTATGTAATTCTAGTTAACATGTTATGTGCTTGTAGTTAACAAATTATGTGCCTTCAATTTATTTACAAGCACATAATTTATTAATTAATGAGGCATATAATATGTTAAATACAAATACATAATTTTTGAATCAGTGTTATAATGTAAGATGAACGATGGTTTGTGGTGTAACAATTGCAAGATATAATGATAACATATTATATGACTGTAGTTAACATGTTATGTACTTGTAATTAACAAATTATATACCTTTAATTTATTTACATGCCAATAATTTATTAATTGAAAAATTATGATATATTAAATGTAAACACATAATTTTTAAATATCAGGGTCCATAATATAAAAGGAACCATGGTATGTGGTATAACAATTGCAAAATATAATGATTGACACAAAACAACATGGGTCAACTGTATTGAAAAATAATCAATTGAAAGTTTGAAACATAACTTTGTCGGCAAAGTATATCTATGATGGACCATCCACCTTGCATCATGGATCGCAGTTCATTGTTATAATGCTATAGAAATATTATTAAAAAGTATAGTTGAATATAATTTTTTATTATAATATCATATAACAATAATATATGTTTATTAAAATAACATCAATTTGCATATTTTCATTTACACATATAATTCTTTATTTTTGTATAAATAAAAACAATATTACGAAATATATTATTAAAAATTATAAGGACTATATTATCCATATTACACTAGGACTATATTATTCGTGTTAGACTAGGATTCTATCTAGTATCTATATATTCGCTCTCTGTACTCTCAGACATTATGATTGAATACAACACAATCTATATTCTCATCTGGTATCAGTTTCCAATTTTTCTCTCATGGAGTTAGGGTTTAGCGCTTAAGAGTGTCGCTAATTACAATTGTTGGTTGATGTGATTCCATAATTACAATGAGCACTTGTTCGGCGGCGACGGAATCCTGTCAAATTTGTAAATGTTTCGGTCACACGGGAGCTAATTGTTTATGGCGCTATGATGAACCGTGTCAAATTTGTAAAGGTTTCGGTCACACGGGAGCCAATTGTTTTTGGCGCTATGATGATCCGTGTCAAATTTGTAAACGTTTCGGTCATACGGGAGCCAATTGTTTACGACGATATTTAGGGGCTCCGGGTTCTCAGCGTTTTTCACCCTCCCCGGCTCCTCAGGCGAATGTAGCCGTTTCTGGTGATGACTCGGGTGGTCCACATGAGTGGTTTCCTGATACTGGTGCTACCAACCATGCTACGCCCGATCCTTCTTTGTTGACCTCTGCGACTGGTTATGATGGCCCTGAGACTCTTCATGTTGGCAGTGATACAAGTTTGCCTATTGTTAATGTTGGTTTAGCTTCGTTAGCCACTAATTCTAGGTCTTTTAAGTTAAATGATGTTTTGCATGTTCCTAATCTTTCTAGTTCATTATTATCTGTCCAGCGTTTTGCCAAAGATAATAATGTTTTCTTTGAGTTTCACCCACTTTGTTTCTTTGTGAAAGACATTTTGACCAAGAAAGTCGTATTTAAAGGGCATGCATCTGATGGCCTGTACTCCTGGCCTGCGTCATCTCCTGCTCCAGCTGCATTCGTTGCTGTGCGTTCCTCTTTTGTCTGGCATATGCGGTTGGGGCATTCGCACTCTCGAGTCTTACGCAAAATTTTAGAGTCTTCGTCTGTAAGTAATTTTAATTCGAAAGATCTTCCCAATGTTTGTTCCTCTTGTCAATTGGGAAAATCATCTCGTTTTCCATTATCTCGTGTTGAAACTACTAGTATACATCCTTTAAAATTAATATATTCTGATATTTGGGGCCATGCGCCGTTACTTTCTACGAATGGCTTTAAATATTTTGCGTTGTTTGTGGATGATTACACACGGTATATATGGTATTATCCGATGCGAGCCAAATCTGAATTATATGGCATATTTGATAAGTTTCGGTCACTTGTTGAACGTTGTTTTTCTCGCAAGATTATTTCTTTTCAATCTGATTTAGGGGGAGAATATAAGAAGCTTAGTTCCACCCTTTCTTTTCTAGGTATTCGTCACAGGAATCTTGTGCCTATACTCATGAACAGAATAGACGGGTGGAGCGCAGGCATCGTCATGTTGTTGAGACAGGACTGTCCTTAATGGCTCAAGAATCTGTTCCTTCTCGTTTCTGGGACTATGCTTTTGAGACTGCTGTCTATCTTATAAATAAAATGCCCACTCGTGTTTTGTCTGATGAGTCACCACACTTTCGTTTGCATCGTTCTCCCCCATCCTACTCGTACTTGCGGGTATTTGGTTGTTTGTGCTTTCATGTTTTGCGTCCATATAATCGAAATAAGCTACAATTTCATTCATCTCCGCCTGTCTTTCTAGGTTACCCCCCGTCTTATCGTGGCTATCGTTGTTTAGATACTAACACTAACAAGGTCTTTATATGTCGCCACGTGTGATTCGATGAGGCTGTGTTTCCTTTTTTTTCTCCTATTGCCTCGCAGGTTCCTAAGCCACGGTTCGAACCGTGGACCACCGCACCGGTTG